GATACATTAGCCCTTACACTGACAAGTTTTTGCCAGAGCTGCTCAGATCAGGTTCATCAATAGTGAGAGACATGCCTTGTACAGGACATCTTAGTCTAAACTGGCTGTGAATAGAAATGGTACACAGCACATTGACACTAAATCATCAAGCTGAGACAGTCCTCAAGTCATGCTAAAACTGCCTCTTAAGCAATAATATGTGTGATAATGTTTAAGAGGCTACTTTAGCTTTCACAGCTTGATGAATGAAGCCCAATGCCATTTATCTCCAATTCTAATCATTTATGGAAACCTCGTAAACAAGGAGCTAATCTTCTTAACCTACGTTTGCACAGACCTGAAAACCTTTCATAAAAGTAAACTTTCAGATTGATGTGCAAAGGTGATGTGCAAAGGTGCTCAGACAAAAGAAGGTTGGGACACCTGATACGTAACTCTGGTTTATGATTTATTTACCATCATGCTTGTGATAAAAACAATGGGGGGTTGATTTACTAAAGGCAAATAGGCTGTTCACTTTGCAAGGGAAATTGCAGGGGACATTAATCCCTAGTTTATTTAATGAGATGAAGCTACTCTGACTTTCATCACCCAATCGTGTGCAAGCAAAAATATTTTTAATTTTCTTTGCACTATTGGGTATTATTTGCAAAGAGAAAATTCACCGCATTCACCCAGCTAAGGGAAACTTCCCCTGCAAAGTGCAAGTCCCCTTAAAGAGTACAGCTTATTTGCTTTTAGTAAATCAACCCTAAGAGATATACTTTAGCTGGCAAGCCTAGTCTTTAGGGGAATGGAGGTTAAGAGCACGCATTCACAGGGACTCTTCTGTGGGCACAAACTATACATGGTTACAGAATGCCAGTATGAAAATTTATTTTACCTAATTATTCTGTAAAACCTTGTTTACCATAAAGGTGAACCGAGGAACTTCTGCATTACCAACAAAGCTGTATGGTTAAGGCTAGGGCTGCATAATCGATTCGTTACCAGATTATTTTCTCAACTAATCAATTGGTTGCATAAAAAAAAAAAAAAAATCTCTTCCCAACCAACTAACCGATAATGAGAATAGTTGTAGACTATTCTCAATCGATTTAATCGATTAGTTGTTGCAGCCCTGGTTAAGGCCAATGTACATTAAGAGCTCATTCACAGCAGCCCAAACGGGCCGTTTTAGAATGCAGGCTGGTGTCCATTCACTCCTGTGGATGGTTGTTGACTTACATTGTTAGAATGCAAGGTAGGGTTTACTTTTTCTTTTTCTTCCTTTTGTGCTTATGAAGTGTTACATACGACATTTTGTTTACGTCTATGTTGGTGAGATGCACTGACCTGAAGCGAGGTCCATGGCCGATGTCTCAACGCAGACGTGAACCGTGAACAGGGCACACAGAAAACAATGGTTTTCTACATGCCCTATGGGGTGGTCCTGCATTGATGCAGGTTAATGTAGATTGCCTTACACGGTGTGAACAAGCCCTTAGCCTTACCATGTTGCATTTGAACAATTTTTTTTTTTTTCAAATTTGGCCTGGAAATTTTGTAAGTAGCTCCTTTACATAAGGCAACATGTATTTCAGATTTACCTATAGAAAATAATAAACTCCACTGCAACACTAACACAAGACTAAAAATATACTGTGAAATAAAACAGCTGTGTAAATATGTCAGGACGTACTAATATACCTTAACAGTTGAAATCCAAAAGACAGCAGTATTCAAAGGCAGCACATTATGCTTGGCTGGCATGTCAGGTAACGGAAATGCAAGATGAGACAATGGTAAGTGATAAATAAAACTTAAGGCAGCTAGATACAAATAAAATATTCATAATTCACTGTGGGACCTTCAGGAGTATAAACAAAGCAACAGTTAATCATTTAGTGCCAGAGAACAGTAGCAAGAAATTTTTAAATGCATCACCATCTCTGGCACTAATGTATCGTTCATATGACAGATTGATATAAATTCACTTTACAGTAGGAGATGGCAAGCTCTAGCGAAGCCATGCTATGCCTACATGTCGATCATTCTTTGGTTAGGATGAGACTCTGCAACATAACATGCTAGGACCATACTAAGCCAGCCAATCTCTTTTATAATGGAGGTTAATTAGTATAAAGGAAAGCCTAACGGAAAAAA